GGCCAGCTCAGCCCACCAGGGGGCGGGGCGGGCTGGCATGTGGTGCTGGGGGATTGAATCGCGGTCCCTGTGCTTTGCTAAGCTTGTTCTAAGTAGGTGCTTTAGACTACTGAGCCATCTCACCAGCCCCCTCATAGACTTTAATAAAATCCAGTACTATTGTGTAGTTGTATTTTCTTTCTTGGGAAGTTGGTGGGGGAGAGAAGGTAGGAGGGGACCTACTTCCCTGGTATAATTATTGTCTATTTTAACTTATAAACTGCTGAAAGGGATGTACCATATCACTTCAGCTGTTTTTATTTTTCTCAATGTATATTTAAATCCTAGCACATAAACAGAATAACTTCAGGAAAGCAAAGCAGTTGCATAAAAAAGCAGGTACAAACACTTTTGGGTTTTAAAAAGATGTTACCTGAGATTTTCACAAAATAGAAAGGAATGTGTTACCTTTAAAGTCCTGAGGCATGGTAATTTGAATTGGTTGCTTGGAGATACCTTGGATATTCTGTTAATAAGAAGAGCCTAGCTTTAGTTTAAATATCTACTCTTACATTAATCGGTACCACATAAGGGCTTTTTAATGAATACTATATTAAATGTGAACAAAATAAGTATTGTCAATGAATCATGCACACACATATTAACACTTAATGTAGCTATCTAACACTGAAACATGGTTTTGCTGAGAATGCCACCACCTAAACCAGCACAGGAGAGAGCAGCTCTGGCTGTAGCTGTGTGGTCCTCACTGTAATTACACACAGCAACTCTCCAGGCAGCCCAAGTTAGCTGAAAATGCCCTATGCAAGATGATAAAGGTGGTCTTTAGCATAAGAATGCATTTTAGGATGAGTTTTGGCTTCTGTGCCTAGAGTCCCCTCCTCTCCGTTCCCGGTGCAGGTGTCTGCCTGTGGCAGGTGGAGGTGTGGCTGCATCACGCAGCGCTGCCTGTAAAGCTTTGCATCTTTACAACTTCAGGTAGTGAGCAAGATCACAGCTGTGTTCTGACTTGTCCCACTGCTCACACACTGGGAATTTCTGCTATCAGACCCCCTGGATCTGGTGGTAAACATGACCCCTCACCTGTCTGGTAACAGAACTCCTTGGGCGCTATCCATCTTGACTAGATCTGGTGAATTCTGCTATTGTGCTGCTTAGTGATGACATTCCTTAGGTCCCCAGCAGTCCTGGGAGGGGCAAAATCGGCACTTTCTCCTTATTTTTTTAAGGTGAAGAGACTGAAGGCTGGAGGTGTTAAGTCAGCAGCCCTCAAGTGCTCTGTACCTTAGAATCACATGATACTTTTAAAAATACCAAAATAGCCACAGGATAAGCTCAGTAACAGAGATGACAGAAAAAGAGCCAGTGAACTGGAGGGTAAATCAAGAGAAACTACACAATCTAAAGGAGGGAGAAATATTGAAAAAAACTGAACAGAGCTTCTGGGACCTGGGGGATAATATCAAAAGTACAATATCAATTTATGTTATTTTATCCCCTGAAGAAAAAAAAATTAGAGATAATAACCAGAATTTCCCAAATTTAGTGAAAGGATTTTTTTTTGTTCAATAAGATGATTAGCCCTACAGAAAGCAGTCAGTGCAGAATGCCACATTCCACACAGAGGAAGAACAACACGTCTGACTTCTGATTTCCCCCTTTCCTTCCTTCCTTAGGCAGCAGAGGAAGGAGCAGACCCACACTTCAAAGGCTACAGGAAAAAATGTGTCAGCCCAGAATTCCAGCAAATACACCTCCCAGGAATGAAGGCAAGCTGAAGACTTTCTCAGATAAAATGAATAGAATCTGCCCTCAATAGTTCTGCTCTGAAAGACATTCTACAGGAAGTTCTTTAGTCAAAAAATTAAAAAAGTTTCCTAAGGAAAACTGGAAGTTCAGAAATGAAGGGTGGACCACAGACATAACCAAGGTCTGGGTAAATAAATATGAGGTATGATTTAAAAAGAATACATGTGTATGCTAGATGTGGTGGCGCACCCTTCTAAGTACAGCACTCAGGAGTCTGAGGCAGGAGGGTCACCGCAAGTTCGAGGCCAGCCTGCACTATGTAGTGAACTACATCGCAAGGCCTTGTCTCAAAAAATTAAATAAAATATGTATCTGTTGAAAGAAAAAATTACAACACTTTACATATGACAATTACAGTGTAAAGTGAGGAAGGTAAGAGTTTTACAACTTAAAGTGATAAAACATGAAATCTAAAAATGTCTAAAGTTGGATGATTAATTTATATAGTAGTCACTAAAAATATTAAACAAAGAAACAATCCCAAATCATTATGTAAATTAAAATTAAATTCTAAAAGCTATTCAGTAATTCAAAGGATGACAGGAAAGGGAACAGAAGAACACAATTCCACAAAGAAAAGGGAATATTGCCTAACTCACTTTATAGGCCAGTATTTTACTGATAGCAAAACTGGAAAAAAATATTACAAGAAAAGAAAGCTTTATTTCTCATAAAAATGGACAAAAAATCCTAAATGAAATAGAAGAAAGAGGAGAAAGAGAGAGGAGGATGTATCATGGAGATGTAGGGTTATCTCCCAAATTCCAGGGTTGATTGGCTCAAAATCTGAAAATCTATCAATATTGTTAAAGAAGAAAGACTCCATGATCATCTCAATAAACACAGCAAAAGTATTAGGTGAGATTAAATATCCATTCATAAAAAAATAAATATCTATTCATAATTTTAAAACTCTCAGCTAACTAGAAATAAACTCTCTTAACATCATAAAGGGAATCAATAACAACATTCAAAGCTAACATCACCCTTAACAGTGAGAGTCAATATATTGCCCTTAAGATCAGAATAAAGGGAAAGATGTCTGCTCCCAACACACATCCGTTATTGTATAGGAAGCCTTAGCCCTCATAACAGAGGAAGAAAAAGAAATGGAGAGCGAGCAGTAGAAAAGACCTGAAATGGTCACTGATCACTGAAGGTGTGATTACTGAAGTAGAAGCCCCATGAAACTACAGAGAAGCTGCTTAGGAACTAATAACCGAGTTCACCATGGCACTGTGGCATGGTCAAAACACAAATTAATGATGCCTATGTATTATTAATGACTAAACAATCATAAACATTTCACACCTAAAATATCTAAGTATAAATCTGTATGCTGAGTTCGAGGCCAGCTGGGGCTACAATATAGTGAGTTCAAGACCATCCTGAACTGCATAGCGAGAACCTATCTCAAAAAATAAACCAACAAATCTGTATCCTGAAAATTGCTTGTTTATATCATTATGTGCCTGTGTATATGTATTTTATACTTTGGATTATAATTCATGGTCCTTGAGTTATTCAGATTGTTCCTGCTTTGGTTGCCACTGAGATCTCTTTCAGTGGCTCCTGTGTCCTTCTGACATAGCTAGCCCCCCTCCTGACTATTGTCTTACTTTTTGGCACTACTTGATGTCCTGTGTTCACCCTGTATATGTCCTGCCCTACTCCTAGAATCAGCCATTTCTTCAAATCCTGATCTCTGTTAAATGTTTTTTTAAATTTATTTTATTTATTTATTTAT